CTGGGCGCTGTGGTGGTAGTGGGTGACGTGGTGGGGACACACTGGGTGCTGTGGTGGTAGTGGGTGACGTGGGGACACACTGGGCGCTGTGGTGGTAGTGGGTGACGTGGGGACACGCTGGGTGCTGTGGTGGTAGTGGGTGACGTGGGGACACACTGGGTGCTGTGGTGGTAGTGGGTGACGTGGTGGGGACACACTGGGCGCTGTGGTGGTAGTGGGTGACGTGGTGGGGACACGCTGGGCACAGTGGTGGCAGCGGGTGACCTGGGGACACGCTGGGCGCGGTGGTGGCAGCAGCGGAGACACAGCAGGGACACGCTGGGCACAGCGGGGTAGCGGATGACGTGGGGCCACACAGCGTGGCGGTGGCAGCGGGTGACATGGGGACACACTGGGGGCAGCGGGTGACACAGCAGGGACACCTTGGACACAATGGTGGCAGGGGGTGACATGGGGCCACACTGGGCGCAGTGGTGGCAGCGGGGGGACACCGCAGGGCCACACTGGGCGCGGCAGTGGCAGCAGACGATACCGCAGGGACACACTGGGCACAGTGGTGGGGACAGTGGGGGCCACGGGGCCACGGAGGGCATGGCGGGGCCCGCGGTGACGCGGCGGGGCGCCCAGGACGCGCAGGCGCGCCGCGTGTTCGGCACGCTGCTGGCACACAAGCTGCAGGACTTCGAGGAGGCCGTGAAGCCGCTGGGCGCCGCGCTCACCGACGCCACCCTGGAGCTGTGGCACGCCGTGGCCCAGCGCTTCCCGCCCGTGCCCGCCCGCACCCACTACCAGTTCTGCCTGCGCGACGTCGCCAAGGTGGGTGACACTGCATGGCATCACCCGCCGCGGCAGCCGGGGGCACCGGCGGGACACCGCGGGGCTGTGCCCACGGGGCTGTGCCCATGGACTGTCCCTACAGGCTGGCCCACGGGGCTGTGCCCATGGAGCTGTGCCCACAGATCTGTGCCCATGGGGCTGTCCCCACGGAGCTGTGCCCACAGGGCTGTGCCCACAAACCTGTCCCCACGGGGCTGTGCCCACGGGGCTGTGCCCACGGTCAAGGGGACGTCGCGGCGCTCCCTGCAGCGCCCGCCGTGGGGGACACGGGGGTGGCACCGACACCCTGGCGGCCCCCAGGTCTTCCAGGGCTTGCTGCGGGCGCACAGGGACTTCCATGACACCAAGACCGCCCTCACCCGCCTCTGGATCCACGAGTGCTTCAGGTGACACTCGTGTCCCCCCGGGCTGGGGACACAGCCCTCCTGGGGTGACAGGACCCTCCCAGGGTGGCAGGGTCCTCCTGGGGTGACAGGTGTCCCCAGGGTGACAGATCCCCCTCAGGTCGGCAGGTTCCTCATGGGATGACAGGTCCCCCCACAGTGACAGTTTCTCCATGGGGTGACAGGTCTCCCCAGGGTGACAGGTGCCCCCCCAGGGTGGCAGGTCTTTCCAGGGAGGGCACCTGGTGGCAGGTCCCTTTCAGTGGGTGGCATGTCCCTCCCCAGGGAGGTGACAGCTCCTTCCCCAGGGGACACGGCAGGACCGGGCTCCTTGCAAAGGGACCTGGGGAGATTCAGGTGTCCCAAGGGGGGGCCATCAGGGGCCACTGGGGGCCACAGGGGTCATGGGTGTCCCAAGCAAGGGGACACCAGGGGACGTGGGTGTCCCATGCAGGGGGATGGCGGGGGACATGGGTGTCCCATGCAGGGTGACACNCGTGGGTGTCCCATGCAGGGGGATGGCGGGGGACATGGGTGTCCCATGCAGGGTGACACTGGGGACATGGGTGTCCCATGCAGGGGGACACCAGGGGACGTGGGTGTCCCATGCAGGGGGATGGCGGGGGACATGGGTGTCCCATGCAGGGGGACACCAGGGGACGTGGGTGTCCCATGCAGGGGGATGGTGGGGGACATGGGTGTCCCATGCAAGGGGACACCAGGGGACATGGGTGTCCCATGCAGGGGGACACTGGGGACATGGGTATCCCATGCAGGGGGATGGTGGGGGACATGGGTGTCCCATGCAAGGGGACACCAGGGGCCGTGGGTGTCCCATGCAGGGGGATGGTGGGGGCCGTGGGTGTCCCATGCAGGGGGATGGCGGGGGACATGGGTGTCCCATGCAGGGTGACACTGGGGGCCGTGGGTGTCCCATGCAGGGTGACACTGGGGACATGGGTGTCCTATGCAGGGGGACGATGGGAGATGCAGGTGCCCACGTGGGGGGGATGCAGCCCCAGTGCTGGGGGTGGGGCGCTCCAGGTGACACAGGGTGACAAGGGAAACACAGGGTGCCATGTGGGTCACAGGGTGACACAGGGGGACGCAGTGACGTGCAGGGACACAGGGACACAGGGCGACTGATGCAGGGGCACAGGGTGCTGTGGGGTGCTAAGAGGGACCCAGGGGCTGCGGGTGCCGCGGTGGGTGCTGCGGCTGATGGGTGCCTTGGTGGGTGCCGCGGGGCGTCACGGGTGACGGGTGCCATGGGGCGCAGGGTGTTCTTGGACCGCCTGGCGGAGGCCGGTGATGGGTGCCATGGTGGGTGCCGTGGGGCACTGCGGGTGACGGGTGCTGTGGGGCGCCACGGGTGATGGGTGCCATGGTGGGTGCCGTGGGGCGCCGCGGGTGACGGGTGCTGTGGGGCGCCACGGGTGATGGGTGCCATGGTGGGTGCTGTGAGGCGCCGCGGGTGACGGGTGCCGCGGTGGGTGCCATGGGGCGCCCCAGGATGTTCCCGGACCGCCTGGCGGAGGCGGGTGACGGGCACCATGGGGTGTCATGGGTGATGGGTGCCATGGTGGGTGCTGTGGGGCGCCGCGGGTGACGGGTGCC